CACACCCTTCAGTTCTCATTTGTGCGTACATATGTGCCGAATGTTTTTAAATGATGTTTTTTAAAAATTAGCATTCTGATTATAACATACAGGGTCCTGTATCTAACGAGATATTCTAAATATTCAGGTCTACAATATTCAGGATACTCAAAAAACAGACTTAAATGGAAGTCTAACCCATGATAAATTATAACTTCATGAGAGAAGTAAAGCCAGCATACTCTTATGACTGGGATATTATTTGCATATTTAAATAGTACGCCTCCACTGGAGGGTACCCAGGCCTCTGGTTATAGTCAAGGGATGTGTCTATGAACATTACTGACATTACTGTATTTGTGGTGGGGGGATTAGGGAGGTGGGCGAGCCCTGGGGGGATTTATCATTATTCCACTAAGGTTTCTTTAATGGAATTACTTATCGAATTGTTAATTATGGAAAAATATGATGATATTTATGTATGACATACCAAAACCAAACCCACTGCTGTTAAGTTGATTCTGACTCATAGCGACCCAACAGAACAGAGTAGAACTGCTCCATAGGGTTTCCAAGGCTGTAAATCTTTACAGAAGCAGACTCCCACATCTTTCTCCCATGGAGAGGCTGGTGGGTTCCAACTGCCAATCTTTTGGTTAGCAGATGAGCGCTTTAACCACTGTACCACTAGAGATCCTTATTTATGTATGAAATCAAAACACCAAGCCCGTTGCCGTCAAGTTGATTCCGACTCAATATGGCCCTATAGGACAGAGTAGAACTGCCCCATATAGGATTTCCAAGGAGTGGCTTGTGGATTTGAACTGCCCGCTTTTTGGTTAGCAGCTGTAGTATGAAGGGGTATATATATTAGTGTTTTATGGGAGTTGTCTTAGTTTGTTAGTGCTGCTATAACAGGACCAGTCCCTAGAGAAGGACATCATGCCTGATAGAGTAGAGGGTCAGCAAAAGAGAGGAAGACCCTCGATGAGATGGATTGACACAGTGCCTGCAACAATGGGCTCAAACAAAGCAACGATCATGAGGATGGTGCAGGACCGGGCAGTGTTTAGTTCTGTTGTACATGGGGTCACAATGAGTTGGAAAGAGTGTGACAAGGATGAGGCCCAGAGTCCCAGCAATACACCTGTGGCTGCCAAAGATGATGGAGCTGGTGGGAACTGGGCAGAAGTGTCACAACAGTAGTCACTGATAGGGACTTCTACGGTCATTGATAGGGACATCCATAACTCCCAAAGCACAACTGAGTAATTAGCACATAGAGGAAAGTACCGTAGCCCAGCTGCTTCAAGTCATTTGGGAGACAGGTTAAGGGAAAAAAAAAACAAAAAAAACTAGCCAACACAATGATCATCTGTGGATCTGAAAAAGAAGGTGTTGTACACAATGTAATTATGTGACGATTCATTTGGAGGCATTTCTAATGAAAAACGTCCACTAGGAAAGATTAACCACAAGTGGTGTCCATCGTCTGATTCCGAGGCCTTTGCTCATAGTTGTCTTCTGTCTAAACCCCCATAAATCTGCAGGAAGCTTCTGTTTATCGATTTTATTTGCAGAATGCACTCGGGGTATAAAGTAATTTGACTTTTTTTAAACAGGGTTTAGGGTCTGCCCCTACAGGGTTATAACTTACCAAGCATAAAAGCTAAGACATAAAAACAAACACATAATTTAAAGAGAGAAGGTTCAAGGCAGCAGAACCTGGGCCTCTGGCAAGGTGCTGGGATTAGTCCCGGATGTGCCCACGTGCCGCTATATCTGCTGGGCTCAAATCTCCTGGTGGCTGATATTTTGGATGCTTTTCATGCACGGCACCGCTGAACTATTTTGAAAAATGCATCAACCCCACAGAGAATAGCACCATCAGTTAGCAAATATGGAGGGAGAAAGAAGGATTCTCTTTGTTGGTTATCCAGGCTAAAGAGAATGCTGCTAACGTACTTAACCATCTTTGCAGCCTGGGTAAAAGGCATCTTTTCCTCATCAAAGCCAGCAGCCCAGACTGATCAATGTCGCGAACGTTGTCCCCTTCCAGCTCCTCATGGGGCGTGTGCACATCTCTGCAGCACACAGGCTGTAAACAGAACGATGCCTTGGGTTTTTAATTCTTCTTTCACAGAGAATCTTTTTTTAATTCTAAGCAATCTTGGGTAATTAAACTTTATTGAAGAACTTTTTTTTCTTTACCAACCCCATTAGAGGTCTGTAGCACTTGCCCATTGCCTCATAAAAGAAAGAACAAACAAAGCTGCTGCGCCTGTGCCTTAACCGCTTTGTGAGGTTGTTCGGCCTGTGGTGCACAGTGTGCGTTCCTGATGAGAAAGCTCCGTCCTTGAAATCCTGACGGCAAGGAGGATAAGTAAGCCAGCAAAAGAATGCCACGTGCGTGGCCAGTGGCGCACAGAGAGCCAGGGACGGACTGGCCATGCCGCCTTAGTGCAAGGTAGGGAATAAGCAGCCTTGGTCAGGCTTTTTGGTGATTGCATAACCATGAATTATGGGCCCTAAGTATGGAAAAGGGCATACTTCACTGTGCAGTGTAATCGCCACAACTTCAAAAGAGGCAGGGTAGCTGTGCACGCCTGGGGGACGCCGGTAGCATGCCTGGCAGCCAGCAATCAGAGTCCTTTGAAAGGGAGTCTTAAAGCAGAGCTTCAAAGGGTATCAGTGGTTCTGCAAACAGTGTGGCTGCAAGCCAAAGGGCAGTCTTAGCCTATTGGGAGTGGGCAGTCTCTTTGGGGATACCTACTCTAATGGGAAAATATCACCACCCATCACGGCATCTTTGAAAATAGATACAAAGATATCTCTGGGCCCCAGACATAAACAAAGCTGGTACTCCACACTGGGAAGGGTCTCAGCTGTCCCATCTAACGTCATTCAACATGCTTTAGTCCAGAGCTCAAAAGATAGTGCTGGTTCAGTGAGTCTGTAATCTTCTCTGGCTTAACACCCCATTATCACATCTTCTGTTCAGCTTCATGAAGCAGGTAGCCCAGCAGACCTCCTGTGAAATGTAAGCTAAGTGTTACTGAAAACTCACTGGGTACTAAACACGGGGCCAAGAGCCACACCTGCAAGGTCTTGTCTGATCCTCACAGAGATTCTGTGAGCTATAATTCTTCCCATTTTATAGATGAGGACCTTCGAGAAGTAACGTGCTCAAAGTTACCTGGCAACAAAGTGGTAGAACCAACTGCACTCTTAACCATTGCCTTCTATAAACGCCTTAGAATTGCTTCATTAAGGTGTAAATCATATTCTTGGTTGAGAAGTAATTTCTGAAAAAGTATTTTGTGGAATTTAGCTACGGGAATGCTATCTTTAGAACCATCCATTTCTATCCTGGGTATTATGGTCCTGGAGCCGTCTATATTGTTTTCTTGAAAAATTCTGTGCATAATTAAAATTTGGATATGAAAATGGCAGAGAACCATGTTAATACATAAGCTAAGCAGAACTAGGCTCTATAGACACTTACCAACAAAAGCCAGGTATGGAAAAATAAAGGCAATGAAGGTCCCTGGGTGGCGCAAGCTGTTTGCAGCTGACTAATAACCTAAAGGTTGGCAGTTCAAACCCACTCCATGGTGCCACAGAAGAAAGCCCTGGTGATCTACTTCTGTAAAGATTCCGGTCAGGAAAGCCCTGTGGAGCTTGGTTCTACTCTGTAATACATGAGGACACCATGAATTGGAATCGACTCAGAGGCAACGGGTTTTGGTTTTTGGTAGTGGGCTTGCCCTGAAGTCCACAAAGAATTTCTCTAAGACAGTGTTTCTCAAAGTGTGGTTCACAAGACCATCTGTTTCAGAATCACCTGGGCCCTTGTTAAAATTATAGTCCTTGGATTTGAGCCTGGGAACCTACCTTTGAACAATCTGCCCAATTGATTTTATGCACAGCAAGGTTTGAGAACATTTGACTTAAAATAGAGTAGCTAACTCGGTTTGTGCCAGAGGTTGGGAAAGCGCTACAAGGAATAACAATATTCAAGATGAGGGAAGACCCGATCTCTGTAATTCCCTATAGAGACTGGCCCACCCCAACCTCCAGAGACAGCCTGAACCACCACACACATGGTGTTTTATGTATAAACAGAGCTAGCAGGCAGGGTCACGAGGGATTTGAGAAGCCCCTAGACAATCACTATATCCAAACGTATCTCCTCAACACAGTTTTCTGAGATTATCATGATTAGAGACAATTGCATTTGGGTGACTATATGTTCAGCATTGTTTTGTCTTTGTCTTTTTCCTTTCCAACCCTTCTTTTTGGGCTTCTTTAAAAATGAATGTAATTCTAAGAGGAGAAATAAACCAAGTTACTATTACTTTAGCCTATATTTTATTTTCTATAAAAACGCAGGGCTGAAGCAGGTATTATTAGTCAAAAACCCTTTTGAATGTGTTGCTCATTTTGCTTTTGATAGAACATACAAGGTCGTTTTTATTATCTGGTTTACACATGCGGAGACTGAGGTCCAGTGTTTTCCCCAAGGCCGCAGAGTTACTAAGCAGCAGAACCATTTATTCATTCATTCAACAAACATGTACCGACTGAGTACAGCATGCCGGATACTCGGTGCTGGGATTACAGTGATGAGTAAGACAGGCCAGGTCCCTGCTCTCTTGGAGCTTACCTTCTAGTCACAGATACAAGAGGATCTAACCATGGTCCCCTGAGCTAAAGTCCAGGCTACATCACCTCCATATTGCAACTCCCCCGACAGTCACCAGGCCCCTTGTAGCCTCCATCTTCCTGGATCCACCTGCCTGTGCAATTGAGGATTATCATAGGACTCTGGGGACCCGGGTGAGAGAAAATGGTGCTGATAGTAGAGAAAGGAAATCTAAGGAGTGAGGAAAAGGGTGGATCAAAAAAACAAAACAAAACGAGAAAACCACAACTACTCCTTCACTGATTTTATAATTCTGGTTTGGTTTCTGGCTGGCCTTGCTCTGTGTAACACTTTCGTTTTCTTACCCCTACTGCAGCAGCAGCATCGGCGTGTTCTTCTGTGGACCCAAGGCTCTCTCAAAGACACTTCAAAAGATGTGCCGCTTGTACTCATCAGCTGACCCCAGAGGTGTTCAATTTTATTACAACAAAGAAAGCTTCTAGACTTTGTAGGAAAAGGCCAGGTATGGTGTAAGTGGCTACAATCATACAGGTCAGGAGTCAGGCAACTTTTTTCTGTAAAGGGCCAGATAATAAATAGTTTAGGCTTTGGGGGCCATAAGATCTCAGTCACAACTACAGTCATGCGCCATATATACATCCGTGGTCCCAATACCCGTAAAACCTATTATATTAAACATTCAAGATGCATACAATGATTCATAATAACAAACGGGTGCGACTTTGTAATGTGTATCAAAACATTATCATTATTATTATTACTGTATTATGTTAAAGATGTTTTAGTGTATCTGGAAATGTTTCTTCAATGTTTTTTATGCACAGAAAGATATACTAAATACTAAGACAAACATTTGACGAACTGACCTTAGATACGAACTGTACCTAAGTATTCTGACCTGCATACAAATTCAACTTAAAGACAGATTTAGGAATGGAACTCATTAGTAATCCAAGGACTATATAATATGGTGTTCATACAACGTCCAAATCACATAACGTCCTATTTCACAGAACATATCGTGGATGGTAAGCAATTCGTAATTGTACTCAACTCTGCGAAAGCAACCACAAACGTTATGTAAACGAGTGGATGTGGCTGTGTCACAATAAAACTTTATTTATAGACAATGAAATAGACTTTCATATAATTTTCATGTATCATGAAATAGTCTTTTGTTTTTGGTTTTGTTTTCTCAGTGATTTAAAAATGTGAAAATCGTTGTTAGCTCATGGGCCATACAAAAACCGGTAGCAAGCCTGTGGGATGTAGTTTGCTGGCCCCTGATACAGTCATTCTTTCCCAAACTGGTAATCACTCTTAATTTTACATCCAGCATGTAGACTCATTGCTGCTTGGCTTATAGTCTCCTTTAGAAGTCATTTCAAATTTTCATCACCTTGATGGCAAAGACATCTGCCTTATATCCAAATTTGATCTTTTCTGCTTTAAACTTAAGCCCCTTTGTGCTTTTTTTCATCCTCCATAGGCCTAGGAAATCACCTATGGGGGTTATCTTTCACAAAAATCCTTAATATACTCGATAATAAAATCATCCCTTACCTATTTCTTTTCTAGTCCAAACAATACTAAATTCTTAACCTTTCAGCCTAGGATATATTTTCTAGCCTTTCAATCATTCTTGTTGCTCTTCTTCAAATCCATTTCCATTTCTTCACATCATTTTAGAATGTGTTGACTAAAACAGGACATAATGTTCTAATAGAAGCATAACAAGCATTGTTTAGAAGAGTGAATTTTTAGATCTTGTATGGCTAGTGCTATTCAATACAACTAAATTCTATGTTTGCCTTTCTTTCTTAATTCCCTTTCTTCCTTCCCTGTCTTCCTTCCATCCAGATTTCGTTCTTACTCTGTTTTCAAAAATACATTATATTGCTAGCACATTTTGGTCATTAGTTATCTTGACACTTATACCCAAACTCAACTTCTGCCCTGTAAACGTAATGGGAAATTTTTATTTTATACTCCCCTTTAGCCAGTCTCTCCATACCAGGTAGCTATTTTACCCCCAGAAGTATTTCCACAGTATTCCTCACATCTTATAGGTTTATCTACAAGTATTGATCAATTTTTACAATTCTAATATTTCAAGGTTATTTTGAAGTTTAGCCCCAGCTACCGATACTATATAGCCTAGTAATATCTGCAGATGTTAGTGATTTCTCAAATCTTTTGTACAGGTATTAATCAAGAGACTGAATCCAAAGAATTCTACCATTAATGCCAGAAACTACCTCTCAGTAAGAGCTCCCACTTAGGAATGGGTTAATGATAATTAGCCATTGAGGATAGTATACCACACCATATCCAGAAACAGCATCATGAAAGAGAAGATCTGAAAGCAACCAGAGAGAAAAGATGAATCACCTACAAATGAACAACAAAAGGATGAACCATTGACTTCTCAAAAGCATGGATACCAGATAAGAATAAAATATCTTCAAAGCACCGAGGAGACAAAACTATCAGTTGAGAATTTTGTGCTCAGTGAAATTATCATTCAAAAATGAAAGCCAAATACAGACATTTTCAAATAAAAGAAAACTGGAAATTTATCTCCCTCACTGAAACAGCTACAAAAGGATCTACTTTAGGAAGGAAGAAATTCAATTAATGGGATGAAATAAGCAATGATAACCAAAGAAATTGGAAAACTTTTTGTCAAAGTAAGCATTGACTGTAAAATAAATAAATAATGTATCACTATTTCAGGAGGAATATTTTTAAAAATGAAAATACTATACAATAATAATGTGGAATATGGGAGGATGACACTGGAATTAAGGCATTCCAAGTCGATATATTGTTCAGGAAGACGAGAGAAATACTGATTAAAAGTAGTCTTTCTTAAGTCCTGTTGTTGTTGTTGTTGTTGTCAGGTGCTATTGAGTAGGTTCCAACTCATAGCGACCCTATGTACATCATAATAGAACACATCCCAGTCCTGACAATCCTCACAATTGTTGTTATGCTTGAGCCAATTGTTGCAGCCACTGTGTCAATTCATCTCATTGAGGGTCTTCCTCTTTTTTCACTGACCGTCTACTTTACTAAGCATGATGTCCTTCTCCAGGGACTGATCCCTCCTGATAACACATCCAAAGGACGTGAGACAAAGTCTCGCAATCCTTGCTTCTAAGGAGCATTCTGGCTGTACTTCTTCCAAGACAGGTTTGTTCATTCTTCTGGCAGTCCATGGTATAGTCAATATCCTTCACCAACACCATAATTCAAAGGCATCAATTCTTCTTCAGTTTTCCTTATTCATTGTCCAACTTTCACATGCACATGAGGTGACTGAAAACACCATGGCTTGGGTCAGGTGCACCTTAATCTTCAGGGTGACATCCTTGCTTTTTAACACTTTAAAGAGGTCTTTTGAAGCTGATTTGCCCAATGCAATAACATTCTGTTGGATCACGTTTATTTGGAATGGGTACAAATATGGATCTCTTCCAGTCAGTTGGCCAGATAGCTGTCTTCCAAATTTCTTGGCATAGATGAGTGAGCACCTCCAGCACTGCATCTGTTTGCTGAAATATCTCAATTGGTATTCCATCTATAGCTGGAGCCTTGCATTTCACTTAATGCCTTCAGTGCAGCTTGGACTTCTTCCTTCAGTATCATCAGTTCTTAATCACATGCTACCTCCTGAAACGGCTGAATGTTAACCAATTCTTTTTGGTACAGTGACTCTGTGTATTCCTTCCATTTTATTTTGATGCTTCCTGCATCGTTTAATATTTTCCTTGTAGAATCTTTCAATATTGCAACTCAAGGCTTGAATTTTTTCTTCAGTTCTTTCAGCTCGAGAAATGCTGAGCGTGTTCTTCCCTTTTGGTTTTCTATCTCCAGGTCTTTTCACATTTCATTATAATAGTTTACTTTGTCTTCTCAAACAGCCCTTTGAAATCTTCTGTTCAGCTCTTTTACTTCGTCATTTCTTCTGCTTGCTTTAGCTACTGTATGTTCAAGAGTAAGTTTCAGAGTCTCTTCTGACATCCATTTTGGTCTTTTCTTTCTTTCTTACTGTCTTTTTAATGACCTCTTTCTTCATGTATGATGTCCTTGATGTCATTCCACAGCTCGTCTGGTCTTCAGTCATTAGTGTTCAATGCATCAAATCTATTCTTGAGGTGGTCTCTAAATTCAGGTGGGTTATACTCAAGGCTGTACAAATGCTGAGGGATAACCTTAAATGGACTCACTGCTCATCACCATTCTTTTTAACCCAGCTTCTTTATTCCTTAGTTTTTATTGTGCCTAAACTACCAGTTTGTTGGTCTGTCAAACAATATGTTTTAAGAAGGGCTTATGAGTTTTATATTCCCTGAATTCACTTTTGTTTAAGAATGTCTCTCTATTGCTTTTTTTACTTAACTGATATTTGGCTGGATATTGTGTTCTTGGACCATAGTCTCTTCCCCTCGAAACTTTGTAGATATTACTCCAGTGTTTCTGAATCATTGAATATTGCTGTGGACAAGTATGAGGCCAACTTTATTCTCCTCCCTTTGTAAGTAAATTACTTTTTTTGCCCTGATGCCTATTCTCTATCTTTGAAGTTCATAACTTTTGGTATAGACTACTTTCACATCAAATTTTCCTGTGTTACAGTGTTTTTCTAAAACACTTCTTTTTTAACTTCAAGAAGATTTTCTTGTATTAGATCTTTGAATACATTTTCTGTTTCCTTTGTCTCCCTATTTCAAAGATATCAATAATCCTTATATTGGATCTTTTTTTTTTTTTTAATTCTATTGTTTTTCTAATTACTTTTATTTTGTTGCTTCTTCAAATGCATTTACATGTGGTTTCTCCTATTTTATTACTAGTCCAAAATCTCTTTCTCAAACTCTCAAAGCCAGATATACTTTGAAATTTAAAATGATTTCATATTTTATAAAATAATAAGTGCATTTTTCATATATTGCATAATACTCCCAGTAGAGTCTGGGGCAGCATTCAGTACTCGAAGCATTAATGTTTTTTCAATGAAAAGTGTAAATTTGAATATTCAAATTAAGTGGGATGAACAAAGACTATATCTAGCCTCACATATGGTCCGGCCAGATTTTGCTGCCAAATGAGTTATCAAAAAAAAAACAAACAAACTCAGTTTTCATAGTTTTTGGATTTTGGAATTTCAGATTAGAAATGGATTATCAACTTGCAGTTTAGTTTTCAGTAATGTTGATTCTGTCCCTTGCTATTTACAATTTTTTTTAATTAGTTCTTTAAATATGTTACTTTAAGCCTTGATTTGTTACTTTAGACCTGCAATCCTTTTGCTCTCATTCTGTGGTTTTATAATTGTCTTTCTGCTCTATTAATTTCTATTAAATTAATGTTCTCATTAAGTTCTCTATATCACAAAGCAATAGCAAGGAATGTACCTGAGTTATGATTTCTACTAGATTGGGTTATTTTCTTCTTCTTCTGCCTGATAGTTTCCCTT